TCTAAAATATTTTCAGATTTCTAGCACTTCCGGTTATACCGGAAGTTGCCACCTACTTTATTTTTTTAAATGGAACACCCTGTATATTTTTACATATTTGGATTTGTCTGTTTTGAAGGTTTATAAATAACTTTACTTTTTGCAATTTAATTCGGCCGTTCTCGAATTTTTCTAGAAAAATCTGCTCCAGCGGAAATTTGTTCAAAAAATCGTAGAACACTCGATTTTTGAGATATCAATTTAGGATTCAGAACATGTTTAAACAACATGATGGAGTATGTTTTGGTGCCGAAAACGGCTGTCTAGATCGTTTGGTCACTTTACTATGGCACGTTAACTTTTCGAAATTTTTAAAACTTCATTATTTTAAATGGCACCCCCCATATTTTATTACTTAATCGTCTTCGACGTTTCATTTTACATCTTTTATACTCCATATGTCATACGCCTAACATTAATAGTTTGAGAAATAATTAGGGTTTTTTGAAAAATGCTCACATATATCGATATTAACCTAGTGTGCCATGGAAAACAAATATTTAATGACTTATTGACAAACGTCAAAGTCTGATTTACGTTGTTTGATGCTTGTGAGTCTAAAACCAGTTAATATGGATATTAATAACGTAATAAATACGTAAAACGTAAAAAAAAAAACATGAAAACATTTTATTTTCCCATTTGGTAGTCAACCCCTCATAATTCTTGAAAGAATTAAGATATCAGGTTTTGGTTTATGGGGTTGTTTTTTTTTTTAATTACCTTTAAAATAAGGTAAAACTCGACAGGGGTTGCTATTTAAAATTGTAGGGGTGGTCATCCCCTAAACAAAATCCACATTGCATGGATGTTCTAAACTATCTAAGAATGTAGTTTTTATGACTCTTTATTGATACTCAAATTTTAAAATTTGTCCCGGGAGTTTTTGGAAACCCTGTATTACTTATTGTTAGGGTACATGAAATAAATGTACCATGTTTTCAGAGTTACATTGTTTCGCTTTTATTTTCAAATATTCGTTTCAAAATCCTAAATTCTGTTTTAATCACTGTTTATACATGAAATAAATCCTAGCTAACCATTAAGGAGATATTATAATGGTTTTAAACATATTTAGTTGTAATTAAATTTTTGGCCAGATATTCATAACTCCCTAACACTGTGTGGGGGCTAACTTCGCATACTGAAGAACAGCTCTGACATTTCCCTTGTTAGAGAATGAAACCAAGGCATTAGCTCAGCATTATTAAGAATATGATATTTTTAATATGACTTTAATTTATACCCCAGCAATATTTGTCAGTAATATCGAGTTTTTTCTATAAAAATAATAACCTCTAATGAAGGTTTAAGTAAAACATATCGTATATCACATTTAAAATCTGGGAAAGCTTGTCTATAATCGCGGATTTCAGCAACAATACATCCGCTATAGAATAAAAAACCATATTGGGGCTCAAGTAAATCAACAAAAAAAGCGGGAACTTCCTCGTTATCGAGATACTCGAGTAGTTTTTTCTCCTCATAAGGCCACTGTTTAGTTTCGATTGCATCGCCTGTCGTCTCATCGGTGGTACAAGTTTCTCCGTTTGGGGTGGTTGGGAACGACAGTGAGTAACCCTTGTTCCCTGGGTACAGGTTTAGAATTAAGGTGTTCAGTCTTTCTTGTGCTACAAGTTTTTCTAATAAGTGTGAATTACATTTTAAACCCTAAAAAAGAAATATTTAAAATTAAATTTTTATTACAAATTTAATTTAATCACCGTATTTGAGTTTTGGTTGGGAAACTGCCCTGTCTCTTCAAAATGCAACTCTTTGAGCCTTGTGTAGATGCAAAACGGTGCTTTTTGGGGCTGAATCTCGATCGGCACTGGTTCCTGGATCGGCTGCAGGGGCAAAGGAGTACGGCTTTGCTTTGGTTTTTTAAACGTTCTCTAAAATTATAAAATCAAAAATAATCAAATCTTTTATGTATTGATTTATAATTAAAAATTAACTTACAGTGTGAGTGCAGACCATGTTCGTCTTGTAACTATTGTTGCTCTTCTGGTTACATTGAATGCAAAGACCTAAACTGACGTCACCCTCCTCGCATGCGGCCTCCAGGCTTTGCATCGTTGTCGTATCTGCTGTATCAACATTCAGCTAACCACATTTCGCAACTTATGCATTACTAAAACAAACTTAAAACACATTCAAAATACTAAAATAAAGCATGCTGTAACCGCGTGTGTATACATTAAAATGATGTTTTCGTTGATACGAATATAAAAGGGGGTCCAAAAAGGGATTAAAAACCCAAATCTGACAAGTGTCCAGTGGAAACACCATTCAAAAGTGGGCAAATGACTGGTTACAATGTACTAATTTCTAGGTCACAGCGGGCCTCAATGGGGCTATGTACTTACTGTTTAGTGATTGCGACCCCAAACGGTAACGCAGCCTTAGTTTTACGTTTTACAATTATTCTTAGGCACTCTACAGATGGCCATAAGGCTATATAGGGTGAATCCTAACCCCTGTTGTCAGACGAAAAATTGTAAACAAGCGCGCCGCATTTGAACGAGCGCCAAGGGACCGATGGGCGGGGGGCTGGGCTCACGGGGCCTACGCTCCTGTGATGGAATTTCTCGTCTCAAACGGCTGAAATTTGTAAAATTATAGAAAAACCCAGTTTACAAACATACTGGGTACACATTGCGGCCTCTACTGGACAAATTTTATTCACCAATCAACGTCAAGTTCGCATGTTCGTGTGGCATGCGCGGCAAAATTTAAATTTATCATTTCAAATAACTTTGCTTTTTTAATTAATTTAAAAATTAAAACTATAGTTTATCAATAATTAAATTTTTATTTTAATAATAATAAAAATATTATTATTAATATAATTGAATGAAGAATACTATCAGCTATATAATTACCAGAAATAACTTGGTCACTCATTACAACTATTCTAGAACCATTCAAACTCTTAAATAAATAAATTACAGGCAGCAATTTCTGCATAACTAACACCTCCAATAACTAGTTCTAAGTTCTAGGTCTTGTATTAGTTCTAGTTTTAGTTTAATAAAAATATACAACATAGTAATATCTTATGTTAACTAGCACTACCTACCACTGCCACTAGAAATAACACTAAATCGAGAATTAGAAACTAGTTCTGAGTCTTGTGTTAGTTCAAGTAATAGTCTATCGCACAGCAACTTACAAAAAAAATTTTTATAACTTTCAAAGTTACTAAAGATCTTGAAATTTAAAAAATTAAAAATAACTGCAGTATAGGCAACTAAACTTCCACCAATACACTTGACAAATGCGATTTGAGAACCGTTTTTAAATGTTTTCCTAACCTGTTGAAACAAGTTCATTGAGATTTCTTTAGCCTTATTGTTCGATACAGATGCAATTTTTCAGTAATACTAATACCATTACACGATTATACTACTCCAGATTGCTAACCATCACAGCCCCAGATCCTGATTCTATGTCGAAATCCCACCGTAAGATGGCATTAGCGTCTATACTGAAATAATTTAATTAAACTAACGATTTTATTATAAATAGCGGGAATGATCAAAGACAGCAATAACAATTATTACCAGTATCATTCTTTTAATTTAAAAAGTATAGATTCCAATCGTGTTATATTTTTAATTTGCCGCTAACTTCAACTTTTAAAATTTTAAAAATTGAAGTTTGTTCAGAATGACAGATGAAAACATCATTTTAAAGTGATTTTTCGGTAAAGTAATAATGGTATGATTAAATAATTAGATTATAATTGACATTATAGCTTTGTTTCAGCTAACGTTACAACTGGTGAGAAGCTCGTCAGATGCAATCTCACATGTCATATGATGCAGTGATATTCAAATGTGGCAGTATTATTTGAACGGACGGACGGAACGTTAATTGGACTCACATAGTGGCTCCAAACAGTTATTCTGTGGTTGGAGCTTTTATATGTAAACCCAATCCAACCTGTATTCTAGTGGTTCGGTTCTTATCTGAATAATTCCAAAATATCCCCAACAGATGGCGCCACATGCGTTCAATTTTTAGTACGAAGTGTTTGTTCAGGGAGTTGCATTTCTACGAAGCTATTTTCTATGACCATCAGTGACATGATTATTAACATGTCACTTAATAATCACTGGCCAACCATATGTATAAAATCGGCAACTGTGTATGTTGGGTTGCATCAAGCAGTGAATTATCGTACCCAACGTTATCATTGCATGTATGCAACCAATATCACAGTATACGCGATTTGCGTCTTATCATTGACTATTTTATACCAGACTGCTAACCGCTACGTAAAAATTGGTAACGCGTAAAGTGTTATTTTTGGATTTGTCCGCTATGGGGGCGCTGGTGGATTTTATAATAATAATGGATATGATTAAGAGATGGCAGCACTATTTTTGATTTATATTCCTCCTCTTATATTTTCTTGTACTAATAATAAAAATTGTTTAGTATATCTTTTTTAATTAATAAATAAAATTTTATTGTATGAAAACATTATACGTTTTCCATAAAAACCGGTTGTTTCTACCAGTTTATTTTCATTAAAAAATAATATTAATTTTTAGAGAAATTTTTTCAATACTTTGAACAATTTTAAGAGTTGTTCTATCTGGTTTTAAGTTAAGTACTTGGGGAAATCCCGAG